CCAGTCTCATCTTGACACCAAAGCCACCAAAATCATCACAAGGAAGGAAAAAATCACAGACCAAGGTCCTTCATGAGCATAGATATGGTATCCTTCACATGCTAGCCACGGGATCCTGTAACACAGAATGAATTGTGTGCCGTGCCCAGTTGGATTTGCCTCAAGAACGACAGTGTGTTTGACATAAAAACCCACGGAGTGTTGTTGTGGCTTGGATATGAAGTGTCCCCTCAAAAGGCTCATGTGCTGAACATTTGGTCCCCAGTTGGTGGACCCAATCACTGGGAGGTGATTGGATCACGAGGTGAGTGATTGATCCACTGGGGGATTAAGAATTTGATGGCATTACTGGAAGATAATAATTTTGGAGGTGGGGCCTCCTTGTAGGAAGGAAGTGGCGAGGGGCTGGTCCTTGTCCCCGGTCCCCCGTGTCTCTGCTTCCTGGATGCCATGAGGTGAGTGTTCTCCTGTACCACACGCCGCTCCCACCATGATGTTCTGCCTCACCACAGGCCCACAGCAATGGAGCCAGCTGACCACAGTCGGGGACCTCTGCCACCGTGAGCCAAATAGTCTCCTTCAAGTTGTTTTTCTTGGGTATTTTGTCTCAGTGATGGAAAGGCTGACTAACACAGATGTAATGCATTTTATTAACAAAATAGCACAGAAAAGTTACATGATTGCTTCCCAGGATGCAGAAAGACTCCAGACAAACTTTAATATCCATTCTTGATAAAATTCTCAGTAGCCTACTCATAGAAGGAAGCTTCTTCAACATGACTAAAGACATCTATGAATAACCCAGAACTAATACCAGATACATAGTCAAAGGGTGAATGCTTGACCCAAAGGCCAGAAATTAGACAAAAACATCCACTCTCACCACCTCTATTCAGCATTTCTCTGGAGGTTCTAGGCAGGACAAAAAGGCAAAAAATGAAATGAAATGTATGCAGAATCATACTGTCTTCATAGACCAGAATGTTCATTATTAGTAATACTTAATTCTCCCTAAATCTCTCTGTGGATTCAATGAAATTCCAATTGTGATCCCACAAAGCTTTTTAAAATGGAAGTTGATGAGCTGATTCTAAAATGCATATAAAGATATTAGAATAGCAAACAGTCTTGAAAAAGGCCAGGTGCTGGTGGCTCACACCTGTAATCCTAGCCATTTGAAAGGCTGAGATGGGGAGGATGGAGGTTCCAGGCCAACCCCATCTCAACAGAAAAAAAGCTATGTGTGGTGGTGCACACCTGTCATATTCTCTCCCAGTGATGACAGGAAGCTTAAAATAGGAGTTTTGTACAGTCTGGACCAGCCTGGGCTAGAAGTGAGACCCTATCTCCAAAATAACCAGAGCAAAAAGGGCTGGAGGTGTGGTTCAAGTAGCGGAATGTCTGCCGTACAAGTGTGAAGCCCTGAGTTCAAACTCTCGTACCAACCTCCCCCAAAAGGAGGAAAAGTTGGCTTAAAGGACCCGACTCGAAGATACAGTATGAGCATGAAGCAATCAAGAATGCGTAGCGTTTGTGTTGAGAGGAATAGGTTGATCCAAGGAACAGAATAAAGATCCAGAAATAAACCCATATTTATAGAGTCAATTCATTATAACAAAGTGACCAAAACTGTCCAGCAGGGAAAGAAAGGATGTTTTAGCAAATGGTGCTGGAACTATTGGACATCCACGTAGGAAAAAGAAACTTAGCCTCCACTTTCTACAATAAACAAATTATTTCAATAAGTATCACACTAAATTATAAAACTTCTAAAAGGAATCATGTGGGGACAATTGCTGCAACTGAGGGTGGATGGACACTGTGGGCAGGAAGCAGAAAGCAACACCTATTAAACTAAAAGTAATCAATTAGGCAATGGCTGAGACTGGGAGAAAATATTAAGAAAGCAAATATCAGACAAGGACACGTATCTGAAATATGCAGAGAATTAGTGTAATCAGAGCTTCCGTACAAAGACATACAGCCCTTGCCTTCAACAAACAAGCTAAGGTTATTTGATAACCAACAGGCTCATCGTAAAGTGCTCAGCATCCTTTGTCACCAGGGAAATGCAACTGTAAACCACAGCGACGGAAGCAGACGCCCTGCTATAGACCAATATTTTAAATCTAGACGCCAACTGACGAGACACCATAAACCTCTGTCATCGCTGGAGGGAGGGGAAAATGCTGCCATCACTCTGGGAAACGCTTCGATGGCCCCTTATACAGTCGAACGGCTACTGCCCTCCGACCCAGGGCATTCTATAGGTATTTTCCCAGAAGAAATACAAACGTGTCTGCAAATATAAAAATGTTGATGCCAGCTTTATTCACATTGAGACCAGCACACAACCAAAGGTTCGTCATCAGATAAAATGGGTAAACAAACAGTGACTCCTCCATAAAATAAAAAGGAACAAAACTCTAAAAAACATGATGTGACCCCCTCCCAGACAGGAGTCCACTGCACACAGCCAGACTCCAGGCAGCACTAATGCGTGATTCTGTGCACGTGTGACTGCACGAGAGGAAACGTGAACACATAACACACCAGAAAGGTGGATGCCACTGATTGGGGTGGGGGAGGGGGCGTGTCCACCAGGAGGGTGCCTGAGGGACTTCCTGGGATGATGAGCGTGTCTCTTGATGCGACGTTGGTCATCTGGCCAAAGGCATGGACGTTCACTCCTAGGATCAGCGTGGTTCACTTTAAATGTTACCCAGAGACAAAGCGCTGAGAGCGTGGCTTATCAGCTTTGCTTGTTTGCGGTGGTAGAAGTCTCTTTTCTAAGGCCACTTTCTGTGGGTTTGGGCTGGGTAAGCGCATAGGAGCGGGGGACTCATGGGACCAGGTCTTGCACTGAGGTTGGAGAAAGGAGCCGTGGATATGGGAGGAGGAGCGGGGGTCCTGGTGAGAAGGGAGGTGTTGCTCTGATCTCATCCTTCGTGTGCTCCTCTGTGGAGAAACCCAGAGGTGATTCTTCTCACCCAGTCACCAGGTCTCTGCCACCTCCACCTTGTCCCCCTCCCCCCTCCGACCAGGCAGGAGCCTTGCACAGAGAATGGCTAGGGTCTGAACGAGGGCGTCTCTGCTACCTGGGGTCCCGTGGGCACGAATCAGGGACTCCTTCCCTTAGGGACCTTACATGGGACTCTTTGTCTGAGTCCTGGGGATCGGGGTCTCCTCTCCTCACTAGAGAGGACCAGACGCCTTCCTCACCTCCAGGAAAGTCTGGACCTCCAAATTGTGTACAGTCAGCTGAAAACAAATTTGGCTCCTGGCTGTCCAGGCTGCAGCCTTCCCTTCGTCCTCAAGTGGATCCCACTCCTCCCCAGGTCAGTCTCTCCATCTGTGCAAGGAGAGGCTGGAGGGCAGACCTGGGCTTAGAGAAATAAAAACCGAACTCCCTCTCGGGGAGGGCGGAGGCGTGGCAGAAGATGAAAGGCCTGCTGGGTGGTGAAACTGGTTCTGGTGGAGCGAATAAGGCTGCACTAGTTTCCGCCCTCCACGTTAAATGTGCTGCGACATGCCAGGCCAAGACCACTTGGGTGAGAAGGGCCATACTGCAGGGGATCAGGCTGCCGCATTCGGGGAGCCGGCAGGGCTGATGCCACATCTTCTGGGGGTCAGGAGCTGGCAGTGCCACGGGTCTGCACCTTCTCCATGCGGCTGTGGTCAGCCCATCTCTGAAGATAAAGCGAACTGATTCTGAAGGCAATGCTGAGCTCTGGGACTCACTACTGGGACAGAACAGGGAGGCTGATGGGGGTCCTGCCTTCTGCTGAGGGGTAGGATGGGGCAGCACAGGGAGGGGTCACGGAAGCTGTAAATCAAGAGGGCCCTCCAGGGGCACGAGGAGGATGGTGGAGAGTAGAGTCACCTGTCTGCCTGTCAAATGGTCCTCCTGGTGGTTCCTAGAACCCTGCAAAGCCCCTAGCTCCTGTGCTCACCTGTTGAGGGCTGTGGCTGGATAGGACAGGTTGGCACCCTGCCTACCCCTCCACACGGTACCCCTTGCTGGGACCCTGGATGGAGTCTTTGGAAACAGTGTCCAAGGGACCTCAACCTGGGCTTCTTCCTCTTCTTCCAGAAAGTCCCCTGAGTGTCAGGGAATGCCACTTGTCCTGGTCTGCTCCTCTCTTCCCCCAGGACAGGCAGGAAGGAGGAGGCTCACAGCACCCCCAACTGCTCTGAGCCCTGCTGTCTTGAGAGACACAGCTCAGCAATGTGACCTCAGGAAGGGAGTCTGTCCACGTCTTGGCACAGGGTGACAGGGTAAGGGCTCTGAAGGACTCTGTCCTCCACCAAGTGATGAGGGTCCTCTTCCTAGCCCAACACATCCTGGCACCTGGAGAAAGCACCAGAATGTCTCAGCCAGTCATTTTCCTCAGCACTTACTTACTTACTTAGAAATGCATTTCATTTGATGTATGCTTCCAGGAGGAAAAATTGAAGCCTGTGCTGAGGTGGGTCCATTTCTGCAGGCCCAGTGTTCTGACGTCCAAAGCCCCCTGCTGGGGAACCCAGATCCACACAGCAGGTCCTAATGCAGCAGCTGCCTCATGGATAGCAACAGTGACCAGTGACCAGTGGATCAGAGGATGGACAGAACTGTGGACCCTGCACAGGTGGGGCCATATTGCCAATGCAGGGAACAGGTGTGTGGTCCTGGTGCCAGAAGCTCAGGTGTGAGTCACAGAGCCCAGATAGAAGCTTTGAAGAAAGCAGCCCTTCTCCAGTGCGTAGGGCTGGGAGAGCGAGGCCTGGTATGTCTCACACTTCAAGAGGACGCCAAGCAGGGTGGGGCAGCCGTGGGTGCTCCTAGATGCACCTGGCCTATGACCAGTGGGGCTGGCAGAGAGGGGCCCAGGTGCGGTGTTCCCAGAGGCCAGGTGGACTCTCCCACATCTCCTCTGCCCTCAGACTGTGGGGCCAGTCAGCCTCCCACACGTCACCAGGTCCCCGTTCAGCACGGCTCCTTTGTGGAGCCCAGGGTGATGGCTGGTCTGAACGTGTCCCTTTCTTTCTTCTTTGCTACCTGTGCCCTCTGCGAGGCAGCCAGGAGGGCTTCCAAGGCCCTGCTGCCAACAGGTGCTTATGTCAGCTTTGCCCGGGAGGCAGCAGCTGCAGCCCAACTGGCAGCCTGCTACCTGGAGATGCAGGTGCTGGTGGAGATTGGCCCCTGGGCTGGGGGTTTTGGGCCCGATCTGCTGCTGACCCTGGTGTTTCTGCTCTTCCTGGTACATGGAGCCACCTTTGATGGGGCCTCAGCCAACCCTGCTGTGGCCCTGCAGGAGTTCCTCATGGCCGAGGAGTCTCTGCTTAGCACTCTGCTGAAGCTGGTGGCCCAGGGGCTGGGTGTGCAGACTGCCTGCGCTCTTACCCAGCGCTGTTGGGCTCTGGAGCTCAGCGACATGCACCTACTACAGAGCCTCATGTTCACGCACTGCAGCTCAGCCCTGCGCACTTCCGTGCTGCACGGAGCACTGGTGGAGGGCGCCTGTGCCTTCTTCTTCCACCTCACCCTCCTCCACCTGCGGCATAGCCTTCCCGTCTACAGGGTGCCGGCTCTGGCTCTGCTGGTCACCATGATGGCCTATACAGGTGAGACTTTCTTTGCTCTCTGCTGGGTCTATCAGGACCCCAAAACCCATGTGGACACCCAGGAGAGGAGTGGGCCTCGGGGCCCACATGTCCTTTTCCTTAGACCCTGGCAGGTGGAAGGGGTCTGGTGGGCTGAACCTAGGGTGTTGGACGTTGCATTCAGCCTGGAAGATCTCCACCTGCAGCCGGTGAGTGGCTTGGCAGACCCCTCAGGGCCTGGCCCTTTCTGATCTGGGAGTCCTTGAGTACGCAGATACCACACCAAGGGTGACATATCCGGTGAATTCATCCTGCATACTTAGCCCCAAGATGGAAACATGCATCCCCTCTCCTATGACTTCTGTCTCAGTCACGAACTGACCTCCCCTCGTGGTTCCCTTGTTCCCCTAGGGGAGCTGCCCTGGGCTCTGCTCTACTAAAGTTCAAGGCCCCTGCTCTGATTTTGTCTCCTAGACCCTGACCCTGGGCTCACTCCCGGGCAGGCTCCATGGGATGGGCATTCTATATGCGGGCAGCTGCAGGACAATCATCAGTGCTCTGAGGATGTCACAGAGAGTCCAGGCTGAGGTGTCCCAAAAGGGCCTGAATCAGCACTTTGGACAAAGCAGACCATAATCCCCAGCACAGGGCAGGCACCAGGTGACCTAGGCCAGAAGGCCACAGGAAGGTGCCTCCAGAGCCCTGTACAGATGGGGAAACTGGGGCAAGAGAGGCCAGGGAGTTTGGTGGGAGTGGGACTCCTCAGCAGATTGCCTGGGCTCCTGTGTCAACACAGAAGTCACACTGGGACACAGGAGCTTCCTGTGTCCTGGCCAGCCCTGGCCAGCCTGGGCTCTGGATCCACATGGCCTGTTGCTCTCTCCAGGATCCAGAACCTGCTCTGCCTTGCCGAGTAGCATAGCCCTGATTCCTCTGGCCTGGCCCAAAAGACTGGCTCAGTCACTCCCCTCACACTTCTGTTGCTGCCCACAAGTTGGAGTTCCCTGCAGCCTTCCTGCCAGGCTCCTTGTCTCCCTCTCTGTCATTTTGAGCCTCTTCCCAACACAGTTTGTCACTTTGTTGTCTCAGTCACAGTCTCTTTCTGTCTCTCTCTGTTCCCCCTCCCCACCGTCCGCAATCCAGTGACCACCTTCCAGGAGGTGAGATATAGGAGAAGAATCACTGATGCAGGAGTCCCTCCTAGGGCAAGATGAGGAGAGGGGTGTTGGATGTCCCTGGGGAGACCTTTGTCCCAGCTGCACCCTGACTCTGTGACCTTTGACCTTGGCTGCACAGGCCTCGCTCCTGTCCGTCAGCACGACAGGGGTAAGGGCAGCTGGGCCTCTGTCCCCAGGTGTGCCCAGGCCTGCACCCTCAAATGTGGTCTCAGAATGCGTGTCAGTCCTGGCCTGGACAGGCAGTTATGGCAGGACGAGCCCGTGAGGACTGTGTGCTTCTGTCCACAGCTGGGCCCTTCACATCTGCCTTTTTCAATCCTGCCCTGGCTGCCTCTATCACCTTCCGCTGCTCAGGGCACACCTTGCTGGAGTACGCCCAGGTGTACTGGCTAGGCCCTTTGACAGGTGAGTCAATTGGAGGGTTCCCTGGGCCAGTTTTGGGACCCCTGGGGGCAGTGGGGTCCTGGGTGGACAGGGATGGACACACAGGGCATCCCTGGCCTTAGGCCTGTACAGCTGGTGGGGAGACAGATTCACTGTGTTGGCGCCGAGCTCTTCTTGGAACATTGGGGTCCTAAGGAGAGGAGGTGAGGGCACCAGGTCAGTGCTCCTGGGCCCCTCTGCAGTGTGGACTGTCAGGACGGGTGACTGTGATAAGTCCATCTTGGTTTGGACCCTGTCACAGAAGGAAGGGGCCTGACACCAGGTACAGAGGTGGCGGGGTGAGGGGTGGAGAAGCAGAGCCTCTGAGGGGTGCTGCATAACCAGGAGGGACGGGAGTACAATGGGGCTCCCTGTGCCTGGGCTTCCTAGACACCTCCACACAGCTGAGCAGGGCTCCCTCACTGGGCAATGGTGCTGTGACCACAGAGTTTCTGGGGCAAAGAGCCACACTTGGACAATAAGGCAGGCTATTCCCTAATGCAGGGATGTGCACCTGGGGGTGGGGTGGCCCCAATACCCCTGGGTCAGCCCTGTGACCCTGATGCACAGAGGGGCCTCCACTTGCCCTGGGCCTGGCAGAGGAGAAGCTGTCCCCAGCCCCAGGGTCTGGGTGATTGTGACCCTAACATCTGAGGCCTGGGTGGAGGTCACACCTCTCTGGTACTGTCCTCAGACACTCAGCTCCCCCATGCTGTCCCTGCCTTTATCAGATGGCTGACTGACTGATGTCCAGTGGAACCCTGGAATCTCTTTGTTCCTGCTCGATCCTCACTGGGAGTGTTTGGGGCAGAGTCCCAGCCTCTGAGAGGAGCGGCAGAAGCTCCTGGTCTTCCCATCAGACAGCAGTCCTGGTGACAACAGTGATGGCCTAACCATCTGTAACCCTGGCTCTATTTTTAGTCTTACTAAACATATTAGAAAAGCTGGGGTACCACCTCTTTGCTCCACATCTCCTCCCACAGGATGCACGTCTGTGGTCTGAATATTTCCTGTTTACTTCTGTGTCCCCAAACATGGGGCCTCTGTGATTTTTCAGATTTAGGTGTAACTCTGGGAGAGCCACAGGAAGGACAAGGAGTCCTGTCCCTCTCCCACCTCCATCCACATCCTCCTGCTTCCTCAGGCCGGGGGCTTTGCATCCTCTTCTGACCTTTCAGGATTCATCAGTGGTAACTGTTGTCACCTCGATGGTGGAAACACCTGGCAGGGCTGACCCCTGGGGCCTGGAGGGCTTCCCTTTCCTGCCAAATGCTTGTGTTGCCTGCTGCTGAAGACAGTCCTGGTTCCCATCTTGCTCAGTATCCCAGGTCCTTCCCATGAAGTCAACACCAAGGGCTTCTGGTGCCATGGTCTCATGGTCTCAACTCTGGAATGCCATCTGGCAACCATCTCCCTCGCTCCCTCCCTCTCTCCTGTCTGAGTTTTCTTGTTCCATTTTCCACATCTTCCCCTATTTTGGCTTATTCCTTCTTTTCGGTGCACATATCTCCCGACATTTCTTGAGAAATGTTGCAAGTTGCAGACCTCCTGTCTGTGGAGTGAAATCCCTTGATTCTGAGCTGCTCTTGACTGTTGGGTTGGCCTGGGATCAAATTGTTTCTGGAGATAAGTTTCCCAGTGAGTTTTAAGGGGTACCACTCCATGTCTTCTGTTTTTGTTTCCTGGACAACTATAGTGAAGTGTCACAAACTGGGTGGCTTCACACTCTATAAAGGGTAGAGCCTGAGACTGTGTCTTGGGGGGTACCTGCCCCTCCTGCTGCTGGAGGTCCTTGGCATCTCCTATAGTGCAGACACGTGGCTCCAGTCTCTGCCCATCTCTGCCCATCTGTGTGCGTGTCTCTCCTCTTATAGGGACACCAGTCACACTGGACTTGGGGATCCACTCCACTCCAGAGACTCTATTTAACTTATCTCATCTACAAAGACTCTGTTTCCAATAAGGTCACATTGTAAGGTCCTAGGACATGGATTTGGAGGGGACATTCTTCACCCCAGAGCTGCCTCTAACTCCAAATGGCTGCTGTTCAAAGCCATCAGGAGTGCATCTGGACGCCCCTGGGAGCTGAGTGGGGAGAGGCTGGGCGCTGAGCATCCCACACGTAAGCCCTCACGTCAGCCATCCTCATAAGGGACCCTCACCTTCAGTGGTGTCTGCTGGCCCTGAGCACAGATGCCCTCTCCGGGGAAAGGCTGTCTCCTGATCAGTTGGAGAAGACCCCAATGCTTTCCAGGAAGCAGCCTCTGTGACTCAGCCTCTTCCCTAGGACTTGAACCCACCCTCCTAGGTTAGTGTCATAGCACTCCGTTTTCCCAAGGGGACCTGGGCCTCCACCTGCTGAATTTTTGGGGGCTCTGTGGGACAAATGGGTTACTTCCAGCTCTCTTGTTTAAGGACTGGACTCCCTCAGTTGTATAAATGTGTTTGAGTTCACTTGCTTTTCCGCTTCCAAAGCTGTGTTGATGAGTCTCCCCAGCTCTGTCCCGTCTTGCTGGGGTGGCACTTTTTTTTTTTATTTGGCAGTACTGGGGTTTGAACTCAGGGCCTCATGCTTTCTAGGCAGGTGCCCTACCACTTGAGCCACTCCACCAGCCAACTGGGGTGGTACTTTGACAGAATCATTTCCTACCATTTTTAGAGCAGTTTCAGGCGCCAACAAGACAGAGATTCATTCAATAATCCCCTCTCTCCCCAGCGTGCAAAGTAACGCTCTTGCCACTGAGCTACATCCCTAGTCCTTCACTTTTTAGATAGTCTCACTGTGTAGCCCAGGCTGACCTCAAACTTGTAATCTTCTTGCCTCCTCCTCTGGACTTCTGGAGGACACCCCCACCACTACAGGCTCTAGGAACTTTTTATCTGTGAGTTCAAAGTTAGAATTGCAGGCAGCGCCCCCTCCTGGTGGCTATAAACATCTGGTGGGTCCTGCCCTCTCTGGACCTGCAGCCTCTGGAGCCAAGATAGCACCACATCCGGCTCAGGGGCTGAGCAGGGGCAGCACAGCAGTGGAGCCTCTCAGGCTGTGACCACAGAGTCCATTCTCAGGAGCCAACAATGCACCTGCTATTGGGAACTGGGGCAGGTCCTGGCAAGGTCACCCTGACATTGGTGGGACAGAGCGAGTTCCTCCTGGGTACCACCACATCACAGGTTAAATCCTTTTAGGACTTACCTCAAACCTACAGAGAATCTGTTCTCTTCTCCTACCCTGGCTAATCGACCTTCCCAGTGACCCAGAGATCAAGTGGGAATTTAGGACTTTCAACTCCCAGATTCTGTGCAGAATGTGGGGACAAGGAGTCAGCCAGGCCCAGGCACTGACCCAGGATCCTCTGCTCTTTGTGGCCAGGTCCAGCCCCATCATCCCCTTCCAACTTCCCTCCACACTCACCCATCTACGAACAGCCTCCCAGGATGGCACGTCAGCTTCAGGCCTAGGAAGAGAGGCCATACGGCTCTGAATATGGCTTGGGACATTTGTGCAGGGAATCCCGGGCCCTGGTCGCCAGAGCATGGTCTAGAAGTCATGAGTTCCTGTGGGCTCCTGATGGGCTTATTCTTAACTCCAAGGGAGGGGACCTGGGGAAGGGGTATGGCCAGGAAGGGCTAGACCAGGGCTCAGTTGGAGCCATGCCATTGCAGAGGTCTGTGGTTTCTGGCCCATGGAAGGCCTGGGTTGTGATGTCCAGTCTTCCCTGTAGTCTGACTCCATCTCTTTCAGGAATGGTCCTGGCTGTCCTGCTCCATCAGGGCCATCTTCCCCGCCTTTTCCAGAGAAACCTGCTCTACCGGCAGAAGAACAAGTACCGAACACCCAGAGGGAAGCTGGCCCCAGGTTCTGTGGACACCCACATGCCCACAAAGGGATGCAGTGGCCAGGAGCCAGGGCGGGGCAGGGTGGCAGCTACTGGGCTCCAGCTGAGCCTTCTTGCTCAGTAAGGCACTACCTGGGGGCCCAGCCCCAGGATGGACCCTGGGACCTCCCATGGCTAAGGAGGGGTGGTAGTGACAGCTTCCATCCTTGGAAATCATTTGCAAATAAACCAATGAAAAGACCTGACTGTCTCCTGTGCCTCACATAGGCTTCTGGAAAGACAAAAAAAGAGGTGAGCCACCTCCGTCTCCCATAGGCTCTTTCTTGCCTCTTGTTTACAGATGAGAATAAAAAATAGAACCCAGGAGGATGGGCAAAAAGTGCAGGGTGAGCTGACCTGGGCCTGGGTGGGTTCCACCCATGAACCTAGCCACTGGGCCATGTGTGGTACTCACAGCCTGGGAGGTCTGATACACAGTGAGGGCATTGAGAATGGCAGTGAAGCCTGCAGTGAAGGTTGCAGGGCACACAGTCCTGCTGTCTACCCTGTTCCCTGACCCTTAGGAGCAGGGCCTATTCGTTCCACAAAGCCAGTGCATCTCTGTCAATCACTAGGGCCTCGCCTTCAGGACACTGAGGCTCCAGGTCAGGCTTGGGAGAGCCTTTAGCCCTTTCCTCTCCCAAACCAGAGCTGATCTGAAATTTTCAATCCAAGAGAAAAAGTCCCTAAACTGTGATTCCAGCCCCCTACCTCCATCCAGAGAGGGTGAGGCTAGCAGGGGCTTCTGCCACAGTCCTGTCCCTGGGGTGGGGGACAGTAGCCCCTGGGCCAGCTGCTCTGTGGTGGAGAAAGGGCTCAAGGAGAAAACAAGTAAATATCCTGAGGGCTTTCCCCGGAGGCTGTTGGTGAGGCCATGTATGGAGAGAAAGGTCTATGCCTCCCATGCTGTCCCTTCACTCCTCTATAGCCCTTTCTTCCCCCCAGCCTCTTTCTTCCCCTCCTCAGTGTGGCCAACCTGGGGAAGGAATGACAAAGAGCCCAGGGGCCTTCAGGGACCTGGGATGGGGCTTGGGAACCAGCCCTGTGCAGTCTTCAGAGGGCTTGACAGGGCTCTAGGAGCCCACAGGGCTTTGTGTGAGGCAGGAGGGGCTGGAAGTGGGGGTCACAGCAGCTTCAGTAAGGCACAGGAAGTAGCCCAGGAGAGAGGAGGGCCTCTCATAGGGCTACAGCAGGACCCAGGACAGCTGGCCAGCCTGCTGGTCCCCACAGCAGGTCCTACAGCCTGCACAGGTGGCCAGGACAAGAACCAGTACTCGCAGTGTGTCCGAGAGATAAGGTAACACAAGGAGAGTGTACACAGCAGGAGGCCATGAGAAAGGCTCCAGGACCCCTGTCTTTGAACGCTTCAACAGGAGGCAAAAACCACAGGCTTTGAAACAAAAATTAAATTTAAAGATCACTACAGTTAATGGGAAAACCTCACAATGTTTGTGAGCCTTTAGGCAAACTGCTATTAATGGAGAAGATAATTTCAAAATTAAACTCTCCTCACATCGAAGAGCCAAAACTTGCAGTTTAAACTGTATGGAAAGCAGGAATTCACTTTCGGTTCCTCACTTGGTGTCTATGAGTCACAAGAAAGACCAGAGGAAACCTTAAAATCACCCTAGCATGTCAGAGTTGCGTTCAAACGTGTATAAAGCTGTTTTTATGAAAACTTGTGTCTTTTTAGAAATCGCTCTGTAAAAATCTTCAGCCCTAGATATATTATTGATCCAAAGTCATTTATCAAAGGTGTCCCTTATTGTCACAGCCTATCAAACACTGAGCAGTTCCAGCTATGGCTGCCTCAGCAGAAAGAACCTTCTCAAAGTTAAAAATGGTCAAAAAAGAGTGATCGAAATTGTTGGAAATATAAATTTTGATGGCATAGTAAATGAATTTGCAGAAAAGAGGTCCAGGAAAATCACATGATCCGCCAAGACCCCTCATTAATAAAGCAGAGCATTCTCTACTGCACTGCATAAAAGTCACACCAAACATTTTTGCAACGGGTAAGCTGTGCTGCTTCTCCTCTGCCGTCTGATTGGTGGCGTCTAATTGGTGGTAAGACATTTTCACAGAGGACTTTCTACTCAGAGCCCCAGTGACAGCCCTTTCTGCTGCTCCAACGAGGGCCTGCATTTTCCTTAGCAAGGATCCAGCCCCGGCCAGTGCTCTGCAACCCCAGGTGGTCCCCCATCATGCCAGCTGCTGGGCCTACTCCTGGAGCTGGTGCAGTTGGGGGTGCTGGGCAAACTGTAGCTCAGAGGTTGCCAGGTCACAACAGGTTTAGTGGATCTTGAGGTTCAGGCTGAGCTTCAGTTCGTAGCCCAGGATGGGTGCCAGCCGTGGCAGAGCATGCCACCTGCCGCATCTGTGCAGGAAACAGGTGTGCACAAGCTGTACCCAGAGGCAGAGGTCTCATGTACACATCCTGTGCTCCATGCCAGGTTGCAGCAGCTCGCAGGTGACAGTCACACAGTGGTTAGCAGGGAAAGCCACCTCATCATCCAGCCCCATACATCGCATCCCACAGCAGCACTAAGAACTCATCTAGATGTTTGGCTCTGGGACCAGGTGGAAGCACAGAGTCACCATCCACACCAATGGGGCCTGACACAGCAGGGCAGCACATTGTGGGAGCCCAGTGGAAGGTCAGGCGGCTTCACGGGAATGGCTTTGTGTGGTCCTGAAAGTGGCCCATGCACAGGCCTGGGCAAAGAGGCAGGAAGGCTTGTCATAGACGGTAGACCCCTAGATGTGGGTGAGTTCCACAGGATGGTGAAGCAGCTGAGCTTGACTTGCAGCACCTGGGGAAGGCCCCACGTGGGAGCGGTGACGAAGGGGCTGGTGGCCCTGGAAGCAGCTCCAAGGGAGTGGAATGGCTTTGGGCCCAACCCAGGAGGAGCTCCCCATGCATGAGTGTCAGCACACTGGGGAAAAAGTGGAACCACACCCCTCAGAATCCACTGTCACTCCTTCCTGGACCCAGGATCCACCTCCCAGGACTCCCAGGAGAGGAACAGTGTCCCTTGGCCCTGCCCATGGTCACCTTCCCCTCTCAGCAGCGGGCAGCCAGCTCTGTAGAGAGAAGTAGGAGACTCCTCCACTCTGGTAGACAGGGAGATTTTTCAGAACAGCCTGAGGCCCCTGTGCAACTGGGCTGCATGGACACAAAAGAGCAAGTGGGCAGGTGGTGTCCAATCAAAGTGCTCCCACCCCATGCCTCAAGGCCAAGGACCTGCACCCCTGGGCTGAACCTCAGGTGCTGGCCCATGATGTCATGCCAGGGGTGGTGTGGGAAGGCCAAGGAGACAAGGTCACGCTCCAGGCCACAGCTGGCGATGGTGCCACTGCTGCTCTGGGGACCTTCAGGTAGCACAGGTGGGTCCTGGGCCTACAGCCTCTGCTCAGGAAAAGCTAGTCATCAGCAGCTGGCCAGATGAAGGCCCAGCTGTTCATGGTGGTCAGTGTGCTCTGGCCAGGAGGGGCCAGCCCCAGGTTTTCCATTACATCAGTCAGGCAAGGACAACTGATGGCTCCCATGGAGCTCCTAGCGGTGGCAAGGTGCCCCATCTGGGCTGCTCAGAAGCCTTCTCCCTGGAGTTCTGAGCTCAGCATGGCAGGGGCTGCTGTGTGTCTGGGGGCTGTAGAGAGCTGTGTCTCTGCTGGAGATGCAGTTTGTGGTGTCCTGTTGGTGGCCAGCCCAGGGAAGAGGCACTGGGCATTGTCATCCACTTCCCTCTTTAGTAGCCACGCCTTCCTTGGCACCAACCTTACACAGGCCTCTTTTCTGGTCAAATTGCAAGTTTTTCAAATCCTTCTCTATTTTCTTGTTCCTGATTTTCACTGTAAATCTGGCTAAAAGCAACCAGCAACACCCATGCTACTTAATGAATGCTGGGATGCCTGGAAATTTCTTCTGCCATCACCTTTACATTTAGTCTCAGGGCATGGACTAAGTGTAGACAAGTTTGTTGCCGGAAGGTAACATGACTGGCCTCTGGTCTAATGCCTCTAAAATCCTCATTCCCATCTAAAGTCTCATGATCCCAGTCTTATGTCTGCATTCCTATCAGCACGGTGGTTTTCAGAGCTTCCAGAATCACCCCTTTCTAGCCTGCTTCTCCAGACTTTTCCAAACTTCTCTCACAAACTAGTTCCAAAGGTTTCTAAGCCACACGGAATGGTCACAGCAATGACCTACTTCTTGGTACCAATTTCCTGTGTTAGTCACTTTTTATTGCTGTGACAAAAATACTTGAGAAAACAACCTAAAGAAGGAATGATTTATTTTGACTCATGGTTTCAGAGGTTTCAGTCCACAGTTAGCTGGCTCCATTACTTTTACAGCTGTGGCAAGGCAGAAGCATCATGGTGGAAGGGCATGATGGAGCAAAGCTGCTCACCTCAGTGTGTCTGGGAAGCAGAGAGGCAGGCAGGAAGGGGCTTGGGATAAGAGGTATCCTCCAAAGTCATTTTCCCCGTGACTTTCTTCCTCCAATCAGACTCCACTTCCTAATGTCCATTCAGTATAAACTCAAATGGATGACCTTGGTGCCACCATGGTCCAGTCGCCTCTGGATAGCACTATCTGCCTTCAGTACAGGAGACTTCCGAGGGGGCACTTCGTACTCAAACCACCACACTAACTTTGCACCTTTTTTGACAGAGGGTCTGAATATTTTACTAGTTTTTAAATTGGGTCATTCACTTTTTTGTTGTTGGATTTTTAGTGTTCTTCATATAGTCTGGACACAGGCCCTTTGTCAAATTCACAAAGCCTTTATTCCTGAACTTTTATAGGTGTTAGATCTGTGATCCACTTTTGAGTGAGTTTTTGTATGATGTGAAATGTGAGACAGGTCCCATTTTTTTTCCTATATGGATGGTCCAGTGCCATTTTTTTCTTTTGAAAAAATATCCCTTATCTGTTCAGGCTTTAAAAAACCTTGCTTTAAAGTGGATCATGAATATTGACTTTGTTCTTTTGATGTACAGTTCTCTGAATTTAAAAGCATGCATATATTCATTTAATGATTAGCAGAGTACAGAATAGCTCCAGGTAGGAGAGTAGTCTTCTGAATTCTAGACAAAGCAATGCCATTTTGCATCAAGCCATGATTTAGTTGTTCTGTGCACTGAGGCTACATGACAGATGGCCGCAAAACAAAACCATCTTTCCTATGGTGTTTACTGAAACCTTCAGATTTTCTGGTACGGACAAGGACAAAATGTGCTCAAACACACAGTTCCTCTCTGGGCCTGGCTTGCTTCTGCCCTCTCCTGGGCGTTGCATAAACTTAGCGCTCTGTGAAATAGGAGCTTGGTAGGCGGGGGTGGGGAGGGGTGGGGGGTGACTTTGCTGACTGCTGCTGCCCATAAGCCATCCAACGCCCTGGAGTTACTTACAGTAACTCCTAATAAACTCATTCATTTATCATGCTGGACTCGTGTGAGTCACTGTTTGCTATGTCATCCCAGTTCAGAGGCAGACATTTCTTTTATGACTCCTTGGGAAATTCACACAGTTGGCACCCACACAAGGACCTGACAGATTCAAAAATATGTCATGATGGGGCATCCATGGGGGTCATCCTGGGGAGCCACCCTCCCCCACAGGGTACAGGAAAGCCTTCCAAATGCCACTGGAGAAGGAAATACACTGTGATCCCTGAAAGCAGTATGTGTGGGATGGGATTGCAGAACAGTGGCTGTGGACAATTCGACCTGCTACCAAGACTGAGCTTTCTTTCCAGAGGGAAATCGCTTGCTGAAGCAAAGAACTCCAACTAGAAAGGGATGTATGAGTAACCTGCTTCAGGCTAGCCTCTGACTTGGCAGGAAATTTAGCTAAAACGAAAGACAAAATGGAAATTCTGGGATGGCGTTTCTTTGGGGGAGTGAAAAGAAAAGAGTGCAGGTACACACTGTGCTGAAGAATTCCTCAGGGGACCCAAAGACCTGGGTCCATGGGAAGAGTCAGACAGCAAGAGGGGGAACAAGTTGTACACGACACCCCCCAAGTCTGATCCTTAGTGCAGAGAAAGGGGAAGTCTAAGACTCAGCATGCAGACAGAAGTGTCACCAGTGGTCCTGTCCAAGAGACCACGCCGTTAGGAAGAGAGTGGATCCTTGGCAGATCGCTGCTGAGGAAAATGTGCAGGGACTCAGGAGGCAGAGTTCAGTGCGCACCGTGGATGCTTGATTTGTCTTTCCTACAATGCCGCCCACTTCCACTAAAGACCTGCCACCTTTCAACAAATCTAAAACTTTCACTTTATCACTTAAATTAAGCACATTAACGCTTACCTTGCCTGTGGGGCATCGTTTGCTTTTTGGGAGGTAGACGTTCACAAAATTAAGGGCAGGGAAACACTACAGGTCACAGGATGACTAAATACAGCTGATGCTAAGGTAAGACTGAGAGCTTCTTCATGAGTGAGTTGTGAATTGCACGTGTGGGAATTTGAATTTTTCATTTTTGACATTTCCTCTGATTGATTTGTTTGTCTAATTTGTGCACCTAGTCAAATACTGCTCCCATGCTGCTTGAAATGGAGAAAACAGGTGCGAAGCCTCACTGCTTGGCTTGTGAGGCTCTGGGATACGGGGCGGATGGAATCAGCTTATGCACCATGAAGCAGAGAAGCTGTGTGACGTAGTGACATATCGCTCCCCTAGGGACTGGTTCAGATGGGTCATTAGGGACTCTGGAAGTCACCTGCTGAGACTGCAAGACCATCAAGGAGGGGCAGGTGATACTCTAAGACCTGGGGATGCGGAAGGCAGATTTTTATGCCCAGCTCACCAGGCTCGATAGAATCATGTTTGCTGGAGACCTGAGAAAAAATTAGTCCAATAGGGACCCAGGGAATATTACAGAGCTCCAGTGGCCTTAGTAAGTCTGCTAGTGGGTCACAACCTCCACAGGTGGGAGAAGCTGTCAGGCCTCAGTGACTTGGATCACTTTGTGAACCAAGTGGCAAAGCATTAACACAGCAAAAACTGGTCTCTCCAAAGGGCAAACAACTAAAAAGCCTCATTCGTGCGACCAGGAAGCAAACATGGCAGAATTTGTGCTGTGCTGGCATGCCACAAGATACAATTGATAGGAAACCACAATGCTGTTTTGACAAGTTTATGGAGGGTTCAAAAGCTGGGACAGCAGTTAACCAAGGCATGCCTATCATAGCCACAGAGCCCCCTGCAACAGAAGCAGAGGAACTTCTGAGGGCAGGAGACCCCTGCAGCTGCTCCTC